TTAGCATTAAGAAATCGATACTGTCCTCTCTCAATAAATGAATAATTAAAATAAAGGCATAAAATCGGCTGATGAATTTAGTTCTGTAGCTGAATAGTTTTAGATCTCGACACTTAACAAACTCCTGCCTATCGTGACTCGGCGCAAAAATTTAAAATACTGGTTCCGTAAGTCATGCGGACTGCGCCCCTCGTGCGGATGGGCGGGAATGGAGGGTAAAACCCGTTGGGATTATTACTATTATTTTAACATGAGTGTACACATCATAATTCTTTATGGCTCAAATTAGTTTTTTCAACTTTCTCAAACTTTGAAAGACTAATAGCCCAGTTATGCATACTTGCACTGCTATACCATGTTTACGTAAAAATCAACGCCCAACAGAATTCTACATATTAAGTGCTATGCGTTGGGTAACTGTTTACACGCAAAGTCCAATTGTATATGTATTTGCATCTGTAAATGTTACTTTTTCAATACATATGCCTGTGAAATTCTCAGTCTTTATTTAACTATTTAAAAATACGTTCTTTGAAAACGAAATAAACTCAACTCAGATGAATCTATCTGTGTGTCAGATGAAAATAGAAACATTTCTATTTCGTATGTACGTGCATCTGCTTTGTACAGAAACAAATATAATTTGCCTTTACACGATATGTTGGCATTTCCATAAGAATTCGCTAAAAAGAGTATATAACTCTATGTCTTGTATGCAAAACTCTTTTGCAATGTCAGCATATTGTGAAAAAAGAGTTGTAAGTTATTGGCAAACGCCATTCGAATATTCAAATTTATTGTTATTAAACTGAAAGTTATTTTCGAGATAACTAGCAACACTCGACAAAAAAACGGCAGCCTTATTTTTAAATAATTTAAGTTCCATCGTATTAGGCTGGTTTGTAACGACCCGGCGATATGCCTATAAAACGATTTAACTTTTTGTTGTATTAATTTCTTGGGCATATGAAATATTATCTGAAACAAGTCAACTATAGTTAAATTATATTTGTATTGAGCTTTGCAGCTATTTGCATCTCCTCATCAGACTTCTTTTTTTTAGACTTCAGCAGGGATCGAACATGCGTAATCGATGTTCAAAGTCAGAAGCGTTAACCACTGAGCTATGTACACCCCGCAAACTTTTGTTGCTAATTCATTTTCCTTATTCAACCAACTACTATCAAGTGCAGCTGATTTTGCCGCTGTTTTAACTCGAAAGTGTGGTTGTTGTTGTCAATTTTATACATCTATTTGCTTATCTGCTTTATTATTAACGCTTCTGATTTTGAACATCGATTACGCAGGTTCGATCCCTGCTGAAGTCTAGAAAAAAAGAAGTCTGATAAGGAGATGTGGTGATCTCCGAAATAGCTGCTATAACTTCTACCGCTTAGACTTTGTTGCTTTTTAAATTTTTCCTAATAAACAATCGTGGTTCAAAGCTCAATAAAAATATTAAAAATAAAATGTTAATATGCCACAATAACATTGACAAATATATAATTAAATTATTTTCCTCCTACTTTTTACAGTACCGCTTAAGGAAGTTCCAACGTCATGTAAAAACCTTAAGAAAATCGTAAAGTATTTTGTTTGAATTGAAAATTCAGTACAAATCAGTAAAAATTTTGAAAAATCACGACATTAGAGTACTGATTGAATAAATGAATAAAATCAGTACAATAGTTGAAAAATCAGTACTGTACTGATAAAATCAGTAAGTCTGGCAACCGTAATTCCTCCTTCGTTTATTCTGATTGAAATATGGCCTGCTCGAGCGCCGCCCGGCTGCCATCAACATAAAAAGGAGGTTCTCAAGTAATTCCTGGATGATCCCTAGCTATCCATCTACAAACGCTATAAGGTCAGAACTCTTGAAAGGGACTGCTGTGCAGTGATAGTAACTGGATTAAAAAAAGCCTGACATGGGCACATATCCAATGATATTCCAGTCTTCCTAGAAGAGCAAATCTGTGTGAGGTATTATGTAGGATAGCCAGGCAGGGTTAAAGACCTTAAAACTCTTTTAAACGGCATTAAGGCTTGTGGATAACTATAAAACTCTTTGAACTACCTGGAAGCCAAACATAGCATAACGTTGTGGCGGGTTCAGAGACATTAAGGGTTTAAAGGCAACCAAAAGAGTAACTTGACTCTAAAAAAATAATGAAAGATTTGAAGAAAATTTTGGTAGGTTTTGGCTGGTTGTGGTAGGAAAAAAATGTGTCCGTGGTAACACTGCTCGGGCATCAAACGGGTATTAGGAGTGGAAACAGTGATGCTTATGTGGCTCGCAACTCCATCAGGGCATCAATGTTTTAATGAAAATAATGCAAGAAAAAAGACACAGATGGAGATTTCAATTAATAATTACGTGCTAGGCGTTTATTGAAAGCGTTTGGGTTAGGAGAATATTTTACAATATTACCTTTGGTGTGTGATGAAGGGTGGTGGCTGATAGGCGTCCGTGCTCGATTAAGTGAAAACTGGAATGGCCGCGCTATTTGTTGACGGATTGAGCCGAACCCTTAAACAGCGAGCTGTTTTGAGGGGAAATTTGGCTAATTCGTTATACTAATTGGCGGGAAAAATAATGCAATTATTTATATGTTCATATTCATATGTATGTATGTACATATCGGTGTGTGTATGCGCATGAACATTAGGGTGGTTCACCCTTTCAACGTTTGGTTTAGGCTAGTGGCCTAAACATGCCGGCCCCCTTGCTATAAGCAACATCTGTAGAGCCATTCAACACCACACCTACATTAACAAATAAATTTTAAAAACATATAAGTTGTATTCGGCTTCTTGGAAAAAAGAAGGTTGGTACGAAAGGACGTGGTTAAACATTTCTTTTCACATAGTTGGAATAATTTAAGGCAGTCGATAGCTGGCGAGGCCGAGTCTCCAGTCTACCTCGATGCCGTGTTTGATAAAATTGATCTTTGATGTATAGACTACGGGCGGAAAGGCCTGGTTTCCGCTCTATAGCGTTTTTAATTTTCTGAAGCTGGTCGAAACGGCCGAGATTCCGATCCACGTTGCGGTGTTTGCGTATATTAACTTGGGTCGGAAAGCCCAAGTTTCCGATCCCCTGATGTGATCGGGCGGAAAGGCCGAGTTATGAAGTTATGCGTCGAACACCTCGATAACTTGCATGGTATTAACGTTTTGATTCGTATTTTTATTTACGTGGGGCTGATTCGATGCCACGCACTGTATTGCCAATTTCGTACATAGGTGATAACATGATTGTGGTGGTGAGTAGAAATCAGCCTGTATGTAGCTCTTATAGTTTTTCTAATTTAAAAGCTTAAAAATTCAGTTATTAAATGTATTAAATAATGTGTTGGAGTGTATGGTGTGCATAATGTTGGAAGAGCATATATAAAGGATGTGTGGGGCACCTCATGTTTATGCATCGATACGCTGTTATCGACTTTGATTTCTTTGCTCACATCTGTGAGCAAAATGGTATCAATCATTATAACATATTTGTGTTCATGATTCAATAATACAAGGTTCGATAAACTGACAGTTGTCCCTCTCGCACCGCTCCCTTAGCAGTGGCACCGTGTTGCTTCTTTGCAAATTTACATCGAAACAGTGTAGCTTTGGTGTTAAATAAAAGTATAAGCTTTTGTGCAATATGTTTATTTGTATATGCATATGAAGCATATTTAACTGATGAAAACATAAGCATTGGATGTTTACATCAATCTCATAGTAGTATTATTTTAATTTTGAGTCATTTTGCAGTTTTTATACGGCTAAATAGCATATAAATTACGTAATTCACGTAGATATATCAATATTACGTTCAACATTTCGTTTAAAATACCAGATTTCCTGCAAATATATTAGAATTTACGAAAGGAATTTCACTACTAATTGGCTACTTTGCGTACTTTTCTACTACCATTTTCGAAAAAAGGGATCGCATTCTTGCCCTTTCTCTGTCCTTCGTAAATGCAACCTTTTGTAAGGGAGTGTCAAACCGCAGCTGTCAATAATTATCTAACCTTGTATTATTGAATCATGATTTGTGTTCATATCATAAGCAGAATTTTCGTTTGACATTGGCCGGAAGAGTGATTGGGGTAGATATGAAAATAAAACAACTTGGTCACCAAAAAGAAAACTTCTTGATTTCACATATGTATGGTGGTGTTCCTTGCTAGTTGTATAACTTTTCGTACTACACAATAGATGGCGCTGATCTTGTCAGCTGTGCTCTACATAGAGATGAAAAATTAAATTTTGCAACCGGTACTTAATTTTTCGAAAAAATGTACATACGTATATATATGTGCCTGAAGAGCAAATATGGGTATAACATTTTTATATTAGGCCAAAAAAATATTAAAGGATTTTAAAAAAGGTTGTGGCAACATTGCATGTGCTTAAATTTTATGCTTGTACCGAAAGTACCTACTTTCCTTACTTAAGAAGGTCTGAAAGGGAAGTAATGGTACCTACTGTAGGGTACATCTTAATGTACACTATTTCGAATTAACATACATTTCAATATTCTACTATATGTACTTATCTGCACGTACATATGTGTGTGCCCTGAAGTATGTATACCTGGTATACTTACATATGCATCTATACATGAAGTATGTATGTACACATTGTATACTTACAAATGTATCAAACTGTATTAATATTTTCGTTATTACCTGTTCATATGGTAACCTGCATACCAAATATTTTCTTCTCTACGTAAATAAGTACATCGATGTTAACATACATACATAGCTACTTGTTTTTCTAACTCATTCAATCCCGTTAGGTAAAATTACTGTCGAACTTAGTTTTGGATAAGAATTAGTATTTAAGCATAAAAGAGCAGAAATAAAGACACAGTTGATTTTTCAACCCACGCGAGTTTTGTAACTTAGTGTAGAAGACGGGTAAGGCCACCAAACTGGTGACCCCGCGATAGTCAGCTAATTTATTACACATATTTCTGGCAAAGTTCTTTTCAAATAATGCCGAACAATAGTATGAAGGACGGTGAAACTGCATCCGACGGCCAGTCTACTAGTACTGGGATACCACAACGTGCACCTGTGGGTGAACAACAGATTTCCGAGCCACCACAGTTTCCCGCCGAAATCTTTCGTGTCGGTATCAAACCCCCCGTTTTCTGCAAGGAACAGCCAGATCTCTATTTTATACAAATGGAATCACAGTTCGCTGTAGCAAAAATCATGACCGACCAAACGAAATACAACCACTTTATTTCATCGCTCGAAGTCCAGTACCTAATAGCAGCTGGCGACATCGTCCGCAATCCTCCAGAGACAGGCAAGTACGAAGCCGTAAAAGCCGCATTAATTTCGGAATTCACCGACTCGGATCAAAAAAAGTTACGCAGACTTGTAAAAGAAATTGAATTAGGTGACCTTAAACCGTCTCAGCTTTTAAAGCGTATGAAAGAGCTGGCGAGCGGCAGGATAAATGATGACGTATTAAAATCACTATGGATCGAACGTCTCCCTGACTCGATACGCTCCGTTATCACTATCGTCGACGGCGATTCAACGCAAATGGCATTGCAAGCTGACCGTATGATCGAGATGCAGAGTTTTCCAGGCGTATCAGCAGTACAAAGCAGCACGCAGTCGTTTGCCGCAGAAATTGATGCTCTACGAAAGGAAATCGCCGAACTAAAGGTTAGAAGACCCAACCATAGACGCCCTTGCGATCGAAGTCGAAACCGCAGCCAGAGTAAAGCACGCTTTCCGTTCTGCCGATATCACTACAGATTCGGTGATAAGGCTAAAAAATGCATCGAGCCGTGTCAGTTTAAAAAGCTCTCGTCAACCGCCACGGAAAACTAACCGCTGCTCTGTCCCAAACGACGCGCAGAGCAGATGCAAGCAGAAGCCGTCGTTTATATGTTACCGATCGTAAAACTAAGGTCCAATACCTCGTAGACACTGGAGCCGATTTTTCAGTCATACCACCGACCAGTCGGTCCTCGCCAAAAACAAAAACTTTATATGCTGCAAATGGTTCACCAATCAACGTATATGGTACAAAGATCCTGCCAATCGACCTCGGATGCCGAAGACAAATGGATTGGGAGTTCGTCGTAGCTAATGTGACTAGGCCAATATTGGGTGCAGACTTTTTGTTCGAATATGGTCTGTTAGTCGACGTGCGTAAACAGAAGCTTATTGATGGCAAAACGAAATTGGAGATTAGTGGTATGAAATGCAACGACTACATAGAAAAGATTTTTACATTTTCGCCAAGTACAACCGCGTTTACGAAGTCTCTGCTCGAAAAATATAAAGATCTGACACAACCCGTGAAAGCAGCAATATCTAAGCCAACCACCACAGTGCAGCACCATATTATCACCTCAGGGCAACCCATCTATGCAAAAGCGCGCCGGCTTAACGCAGAAAAATACGCCATAGCAAAAAGAGAGTTTGACTATATGCTAAAGCAAGGCATTTGTAGCCCTAGCAGCAGCCAGTGGGCTCATCCGTTACACATGGAAACAAGAAAACAGCAGGTGAGTGGCGCCCTTGTGGCGATTATCGTCGCTTAAACGCAGTTTCAAACCCGGATCGCTACCCTATCCCGCACATTCAAGATTTCTCACAGAGAATGTGCGGAAAAACGATATTTTCCTTGATCGACTTAGAGAGGGCCTACCACCAGATTCCGATCGCGCCGGAAGATCGCGAAAAGACAACAATAATCACGCCGTTCGGCCTGTATGAGTTCAACGTCATGACCTTCGGCTTAAGGAACGCTGGTCAGACTTTCCAGCGCTACATGAACCAGATTTTCTTTGACTTGGATTTTGTCATCATTTATATTGACGATATTTGCATAGCGTCAGCGACTATGGAAGATCATAAAGATCATTTAGAAATCGTCTTGCAACGTTTACGTAAACATGGTCTGAAAATAAACGCTTCAAAATGTGTTTTCGCGCAAACCGAAGTGACGTTCTTGGGGCACCGCATAACAAGAGATGGTGTCGCGCCGACCGAGGAAAAAGTGAACGCCATAGTGAATTTTCGGAAGCCCACAGTTGCACACGAGCTACGCAGATTTATGGCAATGCTAAATATCTACCGACGCATGCTCCCTAACGCGGCGCATACGCACGGCAAACTACAAAAGCTCATAAAAGGGAACAAGAGAAAGGATTCCACAGTAATCATATGGGACGCCGAAGCCGATGAAGCTTTCCAAAAGTGTAAAATTGACTTGGCCGAAGCAACAATGTTGGCACATCCTTCGCCAAACGCTCAGCTGATACTCAACGTCGATGCAAGCAATCACTGTGTGGGGCAGCCATGCATGAACTGGTCGACGGAAAGCTCAAGCCACTGGGATTTTTTTCAAAAAGAATGTCTGACTCCCAAAAGAAGCAAAGCACCTACAACCGAGAACTATTAGCGATGTACCTATCGGTAAAACACTTTCGCTATCTGATCGAGGGAAGAAAATGCACAATTCTAACAGACCACAAGCCATTAACTTTCGCTTTCGACCAAAATCCGGAGAAAACTGCACCCGTTCAAACACACCAGCTAAACTATATTAGCCAGTTCACCACAACTGTCCAGCATATCGCCGGAAAGGACAATGTAGTAGCTGACCTACTCTCACGCATCGAAACGATTTTCAGCGGAGAACAAGTCGACTTCGAAAAACTTGCTAGAAGTCAAAAATCGAGCACCGAATTAGAGGAACTGATGAAGAGCGACAACCTTCAGTTTAAGCTGATCGACATCCCAAGTACAAGCAACTCAGTATGGTGTGACATCTCGACAGGTCGCGCGCGTCCATTCGTAACAGGTGATTTTCGAAGACAAGTTTTTAACTCTTTGCACAATGTATCCCATCCAGGAATACGGTCCACGGTGAAGATGGTATCGGAACGTTTTATATGGAAACACCTGAAAAAAGACGTCACAAGAATGGCTAAGCACTGCATCAGTTGTCAGAAGTCCAAAGTAAGTAGGCACAACCGCGCCGCAATTGATACTTTTAAAATACCTGATGCACGATTCAAGCATGTCAATATCGACTTAATTGGACCTCTGCCCTTGTCTGGAGGCTATAAATACTGCTTGACGTGTATTGATCGATTTACGCGATGGCCCGTAGCAATACCCATACAAGATATCACCGCGGAGACAGTCGCTCAAGCTTTCTTATCTGGATGGATCGCGAACTATGGAGTACCTCGAGCCATTACAACCGATCAGGGTAGACAGTTTGAGTCCAAACTTTTCAAGGAACTATCTCAACTGACTGGATCTAAGCATCTGCGTACTACCGCATACCACCCTCAAGCTAATGGGCTCGTCGAACGAATGCATCGAACATTGAAAAGCGCAATAAAATGTCATACAGCAACCAACTGGATCAACAGTCTCCCTTTCGTTTTACTGGGACTCCGTACAACTTTCAAAATCGATCTGCTTGCCTCGCCGGCGGAAATGTTGTACGGGACCACATTGTCACTACCCGGAGAATTTTTCGATCAACCAAGCGAAGAGTACACACAGAGCGACTTTGTAAGTGCATTACGTAAAATCATGATCAAGTTGAAACCTGAGCCCACTGCAAATCATTCGTCTCACACGGCGTTTATTCATAAGGACCTACAAAGCTGTACCCACGTATTTGTCAGGGACGATAGCGTGCGCCCACCATTAAAGTCACCATTCGACGGCCCTTTTAAAGTAGTCAAACGCCAGGTTAAAAACTTTGACGTCGAAATAGGAAACAGAGTAGTCAAAATAAGCATAGACCGTTTGAAGCCTGCATTCATCACCCCAGACGAACATGAGCAAACAAAAAAAGCACAGTGCCAGGATCAGCAACAACAAGCATTAAACAGCAAGTGAGGCAAGCCAACAACAGAAGCAGCAGTAAGAACAAAGAGTGGACGGACAGTTCGCTTTCCCGAGAGGTATTCCTAATCTTCGCGGAACAATGTTGTTCGAGGGGGAGTGGATGTAGGGTACATCTTAATGTACACTATTTCGAATTAACATACATTTCAATATTCTACTATATGTACTTATCTGCACGTACATATGTGTGTGCCCTGAAGTATGTATACCTGGTATACTTACATATGCATCTACACATGAGGTATGTATGTACACATTGTATACTTACATATGTATCAAACTGTATTAATATTTTCGTTATTACGTGTTCATATGGTAACCTGCATACTAAATATTTTCTTCTCTACGTACATAAGTACATCGATGTTAACATACATACATAGCTACTTGTTTTTCTAACTCATTCAATCCCGTTAGGTAAAATTACTGTTGAACTTAGTTTTGGATAAGAATTAGTATTTAAGCATAAAAGAGCAGAAATAAAGACACAGTTGATTTTTCAACCCACGCGAGTTTTGTAACTTAGTGTAGAAGACGGGTAAGGCCACCAAACTACTTTTCCATCCTAGTTACAGTGCAGTGGAACATAACCAATTTTGTGAATGTAATAAATGTCATTCAACAAACAGCAGAAACCACGAGGCCTTACTATGATTAAAATGTAAGTGGTATTATTTGTACAATTTTAATATATTTTAATTTGTTTTATTTTTAGCTTTGATATGAGCGGAAATTAACTAGTATGATAAACAACACCTGTAAGTTATACCAGATTTTTCAGAGTTTACAAGTGTATACTGCATCGATTTGGAGGAGCGGCTTGCACATAAATATGTGCAACGTATTAGGACTGGGTAACGGCGCAAATGTTTTGGCGCTGACACACTTACTCCAGCGCCACTGTCGGAATCAGCACAGTGTGTTGGCGCAATTGCGCCTCTTCAGGCTAAAGCTATTTTCCTTTATTGCCTCACGCTGCACGCTGCACCAAAGTGAATTAATACAAGGTGATATCGGTCGAGAAAAAACTCAAGTATACCCAAGTTCAAAACCCAAAAATACAACAAACCCATCATTTTCACATTCAGAAGGACGGCGACGAATTCTAGTTGTGCTGCACATTTTACAAGATACACTTCTGTTTCGGGTGTTCTTTGCTGGTTCTTTGCGACACCCGGTGTTGTCAGTGTTCCGGTGTTGAACTAAGGTGAATTAATACAAGGTGGTATAGGTTGGACAAAAACAAGCCAAGTTCAAAACCCAAAAATACAACAAACACATAATTTTCACATTCAGAAGAGCCGCGGCTAATTTTAGAAACACCACCTTGTAAAAATTCGCCTTGTGCTGCACATTTTACAAGTGACGCTTCGCTTTTGTGTGTTCTTTGCGCCGGCCGGTGTTGTTAGTATTCCGGTGTTGCTGGCGCCATTGCGTCACAAAGTTGTGAAAATCGGAATCGGCGCCAGTAACTCAGTTCTCGGTATCAGAGCAATGGCGCGGCGCCGCACTGTGTTACCCACGGCTACAACGTATGTATTCGGGAGCTTAGGTGACAAAAATAACAATACATTTGGTTGAATATATTTTTGCTGCTTAATAATACAGCTTATTTTTTAGGTTGGCCAGCGCCAACAAGTGTATGAATGAAATTGAAAATGAAATCGTACGTTTCAATTAAAGAAAGGTCTTTGCTACAATCAGTAAGTCTTATGCCTCTAAATCTTAAGAAATGTAAAGTAATGTGCTTCTCGCAAAGAGCTGTTCATCCCGCTTCTTATACAAAAGGTAACCATAACCTGGAACAGGTATACAATTTTGTGGACCTTGGTATCACAATGGATCCTAAGCTTAATTTTAATATTCATATTAATGTGACAATCAACAAGGCTAAAGGAGTACTTGCATTTGTGAAACAATGGTCAAAAGGATTTTGTGAGCCTTATATC